TTGAAAGCAAAGGATTTTTGCTTTTACTTTTTCACTCTTGGACAGTTCAGTTGTTATGATGTGTAACCGTGGCGCCTGAAAATTTAAACTATCTCTTCTGTTCTTCTGGTCACATCTCCGACTCTAACTTCCCCCCTGACCGATTTCCTAATCTTAAAAGAGAAGCAGCAAAAGCAAATGAGGAGGATCAGCATTGCTTGTCCCCCACTGATTGTCATCCAGGGCATGTTACTGTGTGGAATATCAACTTTGTTCCCTTGAAATTGAGCTGTTTGCATGTTGCGACTGTCATGAGAGTGTCGAACAACAACAGTCGTCAGTCAAAGGCTTCTTCAGATTTGAAGAAAGCCTGACTTTGACCAGAGGTCCTTCCTGCCCACAGCATCACCATCCACAGCGACTCCTTGAAGATACTTGGATTATGCGCTTGGGACAAATGAAATATTTTTGAATAGAAATATTGAGTAAGAGTTTCTGTAGCAGCAGATGCCAGTAAATGCTAACGTGTGCATCAGATATGTCAGTCCCTGCTTCCTCCTGCTTTTTTATCACAAAGAGAAAACTTTGCATCCGGAGGCAGGACCGGGACATCAGATTACGTACCTGCACTTATTTGCCTTTTGTCTTTGTGACCCTTGTTATTACTGCTTCTCGGCCTCTTGGGACTGTGTGTGTGTGTTGATGTCATCAGTCCCATCAGGGATGAGTTTAATGAATGTGTGGAGGAAAACATGATTCTCTTTGTTGCCCCTGTTGGCCACACCCAGCTTCCTATTCCGCAGGAGGAGAACGATTGGAGACCATTTTCACCCTGCTGGGCTCGTAATACCAGTTTTGGTCTAAACCAACAGAAGTACACATGTGTCTTCTCTTTCAGTAATATAATCCACTGTGACAGAATATACACAGAGGTCTCATTATACCTGAGATAATTGTGTTTTCTTTTGGTGTGTCTCTGCAGCTCCAACCTTCTAAAAAAATAAAGAAAAGAAAAGAATGCATGTCGAAATTATGAACAGCTTTACAAATGTCTTTTCAAATATAACCTGTCGGGAGCAATCTGATCGAAGAGAACAGCTGTGTGTGATCCGTGGAAAACATTTTATTGCGGGGAACTATTTTGTGTGCTTAAAGTGGAAGAAAATGGTTGCAGGGTTTAATTTGAGTTCGCTCACAGCTTCTTTGAGCAGCTGCATAAGCCTAATTGTCAGTCACACAGCGTATTAGTGTTGACATACTTGTGGTCTTGTACCAACATGCACAAGTTCACAAGCACAGGCGCAAGAAAAAGCAAGAGAACCTTCTGAACTGCTCCACATTGCAATCATACACAATCATTCAGGCAATGTAAAAAAAAAAAAAAGAACATTTTTTGTGCTGCCAGTAAATAAGAAACGTGGCGTTAAATATACAACCTTGGAAAAAATTGAGAGACCACATCAAATGATGAGTTTCTCTGATTTTCCTCTTTATATTTATATGTTTGAGTAAAATGATCATTGTTCTTTTATTCTATGAACTACTGACAACATGTCTCCGACATTCCAAGCAAAAATTTAATTATTTGTAGAAAATGACGAAAAAAGATGCAGTGCTTTCAGAACTCAAATAATGCAAAGAAAACAAGATCATATTCATTTAGAAACAACAAAACTAATGTTTTCACTCAGGAAGAGTTCAGAGATCAACGTTTGGTGGAATAACTATGAGGTTTTCAGTGGGGTTCAGTGCAGTTGGCTCTTCATTTTTTATAGAGCTGTATATTGTGTTGTGTAAAAAAAATTAACTGCATGTTCATGACAGCCACTACAAGACCTCATAATACTCATAGTTATTGCTCGCATCATCAGGATTGTCCTAAATATTACAATTGTTGCTTGAATCTACAGGAAAATGGTCTTGAGCAGTGAGGAACCCATTTCATTTAAATAAATTAAAAACCCAAACATTGTTGTTGTTTAAATGGTAAATGGCCTGCACTTGGAAAGGGCTTTATCACGTTCAAGGTCGCCACAATGACAAAGTGACTGAGACAGATGGAGTGGGGGGGTAGGGGGGTTAACTGGCTGCTCCCCTGTTACAGGACGAACCCCTTCCACCTGAGCCACTGCTGCCCCTTAAAAACACGCAGGGTGTTTACCATATTCTTGACATGTGTGTGTCCGGCTACTGGTGGCTGTACGCGATGAGTTGGGGTAGATTAGAACGAAAACGAAGCCTCTGGGAGGCCTCAGAAGATGTTTATTCTGCAGATAAAACCGCGCCAGCTCTTTGGACCTCAGGACCTTCGCTTTGCTGAATAAACAACAATCCTGCTGAAAATTACCGACTTGAGCTCAATCAACAAAGGCATGGGGGGGAAGGGGTGTGAGGGCACGGTGCCAGCTCATGACGGTGGAGTCAGTACACAGCATCACAAAGATTGGACCGGACTTTGTAGATTTAAAGTCGCATTCCATATAGGTTGTTTGATTTTTTTGTTTTAACGAGTAGGTGTTGACATAAATTTAGGTTGTTTTCTTGCAAGGCCAATTGAGTGTAATGTGATGGGGGTGGGAAGCAGAGCAGAGCGAGAGAGAGAGAGAGAGAGAGAGAATGAAGATGTGCAGCCAATTACTATTCAGCCCTAGAGGCCGCGGGGCAGAAGGAGAGCGACCGGCCGAGCCGCAGCTCAAATATTCCCAACAACAGAAAGTTGGAGAGCGTTCGGGCCGGAGAGGACGGACGACTTTGATGTTTTGCATCGTTCTCTTTTTCTTTTTTCTTTTTTTTTACAACCCGGCTGTCCAACCAGGACGAGCTGCGGCTGTCTCGTGCAAAGGTCGACTGAAATCATTTGATCGTGGCGTCCGGCGCTGGGGACAGACGTGACTGGGTCACTGTGGGAAAGTGTGGTAACACAAGTGAGGCCTTTTCTCTCCCCTCTCATGGTGCAGCTGTGGTTCGACCCCTGGCAACCCTGTAAATTGGGAGCAGACAAGTACCGGTTCATATTTGTGTTTGTGTGATGCACATTTCGCAAATGCAAATATGTAAGGTCGTGATTATTATCCACCAGTTTCTCCGATTCTCTTTTTTTCTCCCCAACATATCCGGTGACGGTAACAGTTTAACTCTCTCGTCCCTAACTGCTGGAAAATGATCCAGATGGAGGAGCGATTACTTTGGGTTTCGGTTAATGCATGCTGACCCCTCCCCCATCCCAGTCTCCATCTCTTCCCCTCTCTCTGTGTTTCTGCAGAGAAATTGCCTGTTCACATAAGCTAAAAATAAATCATGTGACTGAGCGCAGCCAACTGTACTGTTCATGCATTACTTATGGAAGTGTTTGCCTTTCTTCCATATTTCTTCCACACAAAAAAAAAAAGATGCCCCCCTGCCTCTGAGTTGGTATTTTTGTTGGCGTGAGCTCCCAGGCGATGTCCTTGCAAACATGAGCTTTCTTGCTTATTCCCACTGTCTGTGGTTTTTCCGCTGCCATGTGCCAAATATTTAGGCAAGGCCATCTTATCTGCGATGATAAACCACGGAGGTAGAGGCACAGAGCTCGTACTGATCAAACATCTGACCATGGTAACCTCAGCTTTCACTTTCCAGCATGTGAAATTACTTCAGCAAAATATGCAAAAAAATAAATAAAAGTGCTGATTTTACTCACAACAGTAAGACCAGTTGAATTTTGCATCTGTATTATAAACGTGTCAATAATCCATCGGTATTTTCCCAGAAGTGTCATTGTGGTCATTGTTCTTAGACGACCTCCCATGTTTATGTTTTTCACAGTTATAACTTATCGGCCTCAAAGCTCTTCTGGATGCATGTAGCCGCCTTGCCTCCATGCGTTTCTTCCGGCACCAGAACCTCCAGAACCAAACTGGAGTCTCTGACCTGGATTCATCTTTTTCCAGCTGCTGTCCCAAAAGATCCGGGACTCAAAAACTTCATGCGTTGCACAAACACTTTATGCACTTTATTTTTTCTTTTTTTTTTCTTTTTATATATTCAATTGTCTCAAAAAAGGTGAAAATAATAATGAGTGATGAATTTGGATTCAGAAACTTTTATCGTCACTCCATTTCTAATGAAAACACCCACTGAATGCTAATCAAAGTATGACTAGCTGATTGAAACAGTCAGTCATAATGTACACAAAGTGATGAAGCTCGCCTGTTTGTCACTGCAAGGTGCAGAAAACTTTTTAATTGGTCCAAGTGTTAATAATTGTCGAGAAAAGCTCAGCGCTTCAGGAAACAAGTTTATGATTTGTTAACAGGTCTTCACCTTATTGAGGCAGGGATTATCTTCAGTTCACCCAGGAACAAATGGGAATGAACGATCCGTCCCTGATGGTTTTTCTGGGAAAGTGGCGAGAGGCTCCACAGATTGATTTCTTGTACATGTGAAAATCTGACAGCTCTACCCACATGAAGGATTAGCGTCGAGACTGCACGGCCCCGGCCACGGCTTTGCTCGCCTGCTTCCTGGTCAAGGCTAAAGTCAGGGCGATGAATTAGTATCGGTCCACCTCTGTCTGCTCACTTTCTCCTTACTGCCACCATCTCCTATTCTGTGCCTCTCGTCATCTTCTTTTCATCTTCCACCTTCTCATCCGCTGTCGTCACTTCTCTCCGAGTCTCTGAATCACCCTGTCCCCAGCCCACGCTTCCGTCTCCGTCCACATTTAGTCCTGTTTTGTTTTTCCCTTCATTGAGGCTCATCTTTGACGCCCGCAGCCATCTCTAGAGATCACTGCAGCACTGTGCGCACCCATCTGTTTTCACCCTCCTGCCTACTGGTTTCCAACGCGGGTATTTTTCCCTGTCGCTCTCTCTCCTTCCTTGATCGCAGATGGCTTCTTTCGAAATCAGAGGGAGTCACTGTTAATTCATGCAGTCATTGGCGGAGAATGTTGATAACTTTGTCTTTTATTTTGTCAGGCGCAGTCGATGGATAAGTTGTTTGTGTGTTTTTTTTTCCCCTGCAAATTTAAATCTGAGTAACATTTTTGCTTCACAGGTGACATCACTCAGAAGGGCTACGAGAAGAAGAGGACTAAACTCCTGGCTCCCTACATTATCCAAACTCCAGGTAAGATCAGATCGCCTCTTAGTTTCTGAGAACACACACAGACTCCAACTTCTACTGGATATCTGGACGCCTTGCATCACTGCTAAGGTTTCTACCACAGCGGAAGCCATTTCAGCCTGTTGTGTTGGGTGGCTTTACTGTTGTGGCCGTCCTGCATTTGTCCAGATGTTTTCCTGAAACCATGTCATGCAAAAAAAAAAAAAAAGCCCCCAAAAAACAGATATACTTCCTGAAAATTAAATACATTTTGTACCATAAGATACAAACACCAAATTTCTGAGAAAGGCTGTTATTTATTTGAGCAGCATCTAAATATTTGTGCTCATAAAATCGATCAGAAAGCCCATTTTCTTATGACTTCCAAGTAGAAAAGTGTTGGATATTGCCAAAACTAGAGACGCTCCAATCTATATACAAATTCCCCAGTTTCCCTTTTAAATTGCCTCACTGCTCTACACACTGCTGCTGAAGGTAGGAAACCGGCCTTTCTTGCCTCAGTGACAACCTCCACACTGAAGAGTTTTACTATTAGTGCCACTTATTGGCACTCCAGGCTTAGTATGTCCAGAAATTGTTTGGATTGAGGCGGGCGGGCTGAAAACGAGCCCATTTCTGAGGGCTTCTCAAGCTGTTACTGGACTGTTTTTTGTCCAAAATGTGAGCTCACACAGTCTGGAACTTTCCCTGTGCATCATCAAGTTAAAGTAGTGAAGGTCTTTGTACTTTTCAGGGTGATAACTGACCTTTTGTTCCCTCAGACCTACCAGTATTGAAACACAGAAGTTCTACTCACATGAAAAACTACAGATGTTCTAGTTTACATGGGACATCTTTCCCACTAAAAGAGGTTTGATGTTTTTGTTTGACAGTGGCGCCCCCTCAGAACGACGCACAGCCCCCTGCTCCCAGTTCGTCCAGCCACGTCCCCGCTTCGGCCCCCGCCAACTCGTCCCGGTACCGTGAACGCCGCTCTCGCCGGACGCATCGCAACGGAGGAACCAGGGATGACCGCTACAGATCAGGTCAGGAAACGGCCGCGCTTGCTTCTTGCTGCTCAAACTTCGAGCACCTTTGATGAGCCTCCGTGAGCCGGGCTTGATGAGTGAGCCGGTGTTTAAAAGTCACACAATGGGCTGTCTCAAAGGGACCAATTAAACAGGAGTTCATTGGAAGCGTGTTTGTTTATGGGAGTGTGAGGAGATTAGAGAAACAGTCAGCAATGGAGGGCTGCAGCTGGGGAACCCCTTTGTGAGGGGCCCCCCACTCCCTGCAACATGATGTCACTGGCTGGATGTGTGTGACGGTATTGATCCTGATGGGGAAACCTGATGGTGGAGAGTCTGAGCAGTCGAGGTGAAAGGTCACCGAAACCACATGGAGAATACTGCTGGTGTTCACTTGGACGTCTTGCTGCTTCTTATTGTTATCGTCTCCTTCTGCTCTGCTCTTGTGGGAATCACAGTAACACTCCAGCAGGCTCGCCGTGAAGCCGTATGAACCAGAGCCTGTCTGTTATACCGAGTTACTGAGGAAATTAAAAACAACTCGGGGAAACAGAGGGAGAAATCAGAGCTCAAAAATCAAAAATTCAAGAGCGACTCGGATAGGACTGACTCTAAACGTGCCGATCCAACATTTCACACGCAGCAAGAGCCAGAAAAGCTGGAGACCGCTAAGGCATTCAGAAGGAACGATGTGGATTGAATTCGAATAGCTCTCCTCTAGTCATGGCAGCCACTGAAAGCTGCTTAACGACAGCAACATTCAGGGGAGGAAGCTGGAATTGAACCCATAACTTTCTGAATGCAAAACGATTGAACACTAAATTTTTATCATTATTATTAAAAAATGTATATATAATTTTACATTGTTTTTGATTTTTATATAAATAATGTTAGTAATAGTTTCCCCCAGAAAACTTTCTATGCCCGGTGGTTGGGACGCTCGGCAGTCATTCATCCAGCGGCCCGCCGTGTTTTTGAGTTAAAGATTTTTTTAAACTGAAAGGAAAGTTGAATATATCACTTCATAATTATGTGTTACTGGAAGATTAATATCTGAACACCAACTATAAAGTAATATAGGTTAGCACATGAAAAACTGCTAAGCCAGGTGGGGGCACAAGTGAAGCCTGGTGGCCTGTCAGGCTTATAAAACACACTGGGGGAAACCCTGGTAAAGCAGTGGTATCTACACTTTTTTGCCATATAGACCCAAAGTTAAAAGTAATTTTTTTAAAAATTAGAACTGCAAAACTATTCTATTTTTGCTTACTCCACAGTGAACTAAAAATGTGATATTTCACTGAAACCACAGAGCAGCTCAATCTTTGTAAACCTGTAAATTGTGCTGCAGTTGGTAGCACGTTTGCCTTGCGTTCAAATCCCGGCCTGAAAAGAAAACTGAAAGTTCATGTTGCTCAAGGAATACTTTGTGTTGCACCATTCTCTGTTTTGAAAAAAAAAAAAAAAAAATCAAATTTGTCAAAAAATTAGATACGTGTCAATCTGCATTAGTAACCTGTGCTAGTGAGCCACATTTGTCTAGTCCTGTCGTCCCACAAAATCATTTCAAGAGTTCCACCCTATTTTTTTCCCAGAAATTTAACTTCACTTCATCTTTATTAGTTTGTGTCAATTTTTGTCAAAACGATCTGCTGTTTTTCAAAGCCTCAACATGTTTTTTTTTTTCCTGCATTCATACATGCAAGCTTTCCACTTTCTATTTTTACATCAGCTGCTCCACAGTTTCCTACTCAGGGGACCACAGTTTGCACTTTAGCTTCAGAGGTGACAACAATGCACTGCCTGTTCAGATTATAATAAGAAAAGTAATTCGACAGTTTTTTCATCAGGAAATTATCCCAGTTTTTGTTTCCTCAGTATTCACACTTGACTGCAACTTTTGGGCTTCTTTATTTTACGAATAGTGAATAATTCAACCGTGGCTCCGATTCCTTATTTAAGTATTTTATTGAGCCACATCCAGGGAAGCCCCAAGTGCAAGGCCTGCTGCTGACTGATGAGGGTGGGGAGCTGGAAGAGGGGACAATAAGAAAACAGCACAAACCTGTGGAGTCATCTGAAATGTCAGCAGCAGTGGATCTATACAGAGTCACTGGAGGGAAACAAGATGCAGCGAGAGTTGCTGTGGCAGCCAACTCACTTCTGCTCAATGTGCATTTCATTTAAATCAATAACCCTTTACAATATATATTTCAAAACTGTGTTGAAATGTTTCAGTGACGAAGTTGTGCTATCTTTTGGACCAATTAAAAAAAAAGTGAACTCGGTAATAGTTGGATGTTAATGACTAATATTTTATTATTTGTACCAGATTTTACAGATTAGCAGTTGTAATTAGTAAACTCTCCGATAAAGACTTTCTTCTCCAATACTGATTGGAGTCATCAAAAGAACAGCAATTTACTAACACAAAGTCCTAATGAGGTTCTTAGCAGCTTTAAAATGTAATAAAATGGCACACATTTTATGAGTTAACAGAAATTAGAATAGTGTCCCACTTAGCTCAGTTATTTTGATGACGCTGCAGTCTCTCCTGTCTGGTTTTTGAACAGCTTACTTTCTCCCTTGAAAAAGAGATTTTTAATCTCAATTCAATCTTCCTGCTTAAATCAAGGTGTAAAAAAAACCCCCAAAAACCTGTAGCTCCAACACAGGATTAGCTAGTTTAAGTAAGAACTACAATGATCTGTAACGTCACTTAAACAGTGGTAAATTTTTTTTTTACATCAAATAAAGATAACCTTTAAAAAAAACTCCAATGCTGCTTCTGCTGCCATTTTGATCAAGTGCAATGCTAATGTTAGCTATTTTGATATGACCTTAATAATTTGACTTGTGACATATTTCAGTGCGTGGACAAAACTTACACACATTGAAATGTCACAATGCTTCATAAACTTAGCACTTTACTTTGCAGGTTCTAAAATTCAGGTAAGTAATTTTTCAACTGCTCTTTATGCTTGGATAGTGGATCGGCACATACATACTTGTAGTTTTGACACAGGAAGTGTTCATCTTCAAAAATAAAACTGTCAGGTAAATAACTTAAATAAATAAATGACTTCAGTCAAAGCAGTTCAGTTTGAGATTTTCTGTCACGGCAGCACAATTCATAAAAATTGATTTGTCAAAGCAATGTCAGCGTGTGCAATATTGCAGTTTCATAGAATTGCTCAGATCAAAAATATCGAATAGGCGGTAATACTTGTATATTTGGCCTGATGCATGGATTTTACTATCTTTTATGCTGACCCTGATTCAGATTTTGCTGATTAATGTCTTAAAACTTAAGACTAATGGTGGTTATGCTGTGATAAATGGATGGGAAAGAATTAGAAGTGAGGAAATGTGGATTAATTGGCGTTGATGTCGTCATTCTAATATTCAAAACAATATCCAATGTCATGTATGCGACCATATTTCTGTACAGAACTTTTTAAAGTTTTATGCATTCATCATAATGAGACATAAAAAGGACAGTGAGAGGAATTAAATCCAGTAAAGTTCCATCAATAAGCAGCAACTTCTGTTTGTGCCGCTGTGACACGCGCCGCAAACAAAGCAGAACTTTTGTGTACATCCACTTTAATATGTAGAAATTTCACTTCTCCATAGAAGTTGTGCAGTTCAGTTCAGATGGGTCATTTTTGTTTAGTCTAATCAAGACCTTCAAACCCAAATAACAGAAAACTATGATATAAAACATAATTTTCTAAGCTGTAAAGCCTGGCCTCCTTCAGATATTTCAGCACTTAAGCAACTCAACTCCTGCTGGACTTGCAGTAAACGCACTGCTTATCTTCCTACTCTTCAAAAGGTATGGCCTATAAACATTACTACCAATCCCACATTATTTCTCTTACTATTACGCTTCAAGTGTAAATGACAGATCGAACCTCAAACTTGTAAAAAAACAAAGTTAAAGCAAGGAATTCCCTGGTACAACACAAGCCTGTTCCCACATCAGGCTTGTGTTGTACCACTGGATTCATCTGTAGCTTGGACCTGCGGTTAAACACAAGCCCAGCTTCTAAACGCCACACTGTCTCTGTGAAACACCGTCATCCTTCAGGACACGTTTGAGGAGTCGCCCTCTCCTGACGCTCCTGTGTGTGAGAGGGAGGGAAATGCACATTATGAGGAAGGATAATTTAGCCCACAGTAATCTGTTCATCAGAGCGCCTTTTACGTAATTATAGTCCCCGTTGCCGCTGTGCAGTGGGCCGCTCTGGATTTATTTTTATCTCTCGATGTTCGAACAATTTCACTGAAGTAATAAATGTGTTTTCTCTCAGCGCATAATTCTCTTGCACATGTTGTGTTGCATGGTCTGAGCGTGCTCTCGGTCACGTGGTGCCACTTAATGCGCCTGTGGGTGTCATCGAGTGAACAGCCATCGCTGTGTTTGTTGCTGTGTGCATTTTGTCTGTGTAGGCTTGCGAGTGGGCTAATACGCCGCTTTCTTCTCTCCTTCGTGGCTTCGTTCTTCGTCGAGAAAACATTTTCATCACTCCTTTCTCAGATTTTAAGCAGGATCTCGCTGGAAAAAAAAAAAAAAAGGCTAAAATGTTATCGCTAAGAATAAAGTAATCCTTCTCATCAAGTCTAGATGGATTTAATCTTGTAAGATGATTTATTTGAGTTTATTTGAGTTTGCTTGCGAGATCTAACTGGAAAAAGAAAATCTCCAGTGTTCCAATGTGTCAATGATAAAATAAAAGTTTTTTGCTGCGTTCACACCATATGAATCTAGAAGAGCTTCTTAGCGAGTTGGCCTGCAAAGGCCAAGGGCTTTAACAGCAAAACCTTAAACTTTAAGTCCATTTAAGTTGATTTTTTTTCCTTTTTTTTCTTGTTGTCTTTTGCCTCAGAACTAGAGTACATTGGACTCAAGGTGTGTTCTTTTTCCTCTGCCTGTGCAGATATCCATACAGAGGCTGTCCAAGCTGCACTGGCTAAAAACAAAGAGGAAAAAATGGCGCTGCCAATGCCAACCAAGCGCCGCTCCACTTATGTGCAGTCCCCCATTGAAACCCGCACACCACCAGGTAATGCCCAGACTTTTGTCTCTCTTTCAGTGCACCTGTAAATTCAGACATCAACGTATTAAACTAAACATTATCGCTTTCTTTCTTTCTTTCTTTTTTTTTTTTCTTGGTCTTTCACAGATTCCTCGTCAGGGTCTGAAGATGAGATGTCTGCACGCAGGCAGTCTTCGGCGGTCGCTCCTCAGCCTCAAGTCCATCCCAACCTGCAGAGCTCGGACTACTGGATGAACCGCTCCGCCCAGGGCTCCTCCACCTCGTCCTCCGCGTCCTCCACGATGTCTCACGGTGAGGCCAAGCCTCAGGCGCAGAGCCAGCCTCAGCCGCAGTACAAGCCGCAGTACCAGCCGCTGTATCAGCCTCACCATCAGCCCCAGCAGCAGCAACCTCCGCAGCAACCTCACCGCCAGCCTCAGGAGCAGAGCCGCGCTGCAGCCGTGGCGGACATGCTGGCTCACAGTCGCATTGGTGAGGAAGGGTTTGATGAAATATTCATGGACACAAAAGTGTTGCATTTGTCCTACAAGTTGCTCCCGCAGTCAGTTTGCTAAGGACCCTGAGAAGTCTAATGTGAAACTCCTTTACTTTGTGATAAACAGTGAATTTCTCTTTAAAAATCCGATTCTGTTTAACAAACTAAGAAGATGCTTTTCAGCTACATTACAGCTTTATCAAACATTTTTATTCCCTGCTGCTGTTGTCTGCTGTCCTGATTGTGGAGTTATGATACATTTTGCATTTGAGGTAAAATAAAAAAGTAGAACATAAATCTAACACTCCTCACGGGAGTACTGGATGTCTAAGTAACGCAAACTCATTATTATTCACTAGATTCTGAGTTTATTGGACGTTTTGAGATCATCGTTTTATTTTTCTCAATTTGGAAGCAGAAAGTATAAAGTTACCTGCTTTTGTAAACGACGACATCCTTCTATATTTTGTTGGCCTTTACTAAACTAGAAGTGATACTCGGCATAACAGTAGAAACTATACTTTGGGCTTACTAGTAATGTTGCCTAATTTATAAATATGTTAAAAAACTAATCTGCATCCCGAGGAAATAAGTAAATCTTACCTTCAAATAACAAAATAACTCCAATGTTTTGTCTCTGGGGTTTCACGAAACATTTCGCAGTATCTAGTCCTCACGCTTACTTGTTTCTTGCTTCTTTCCAGTGAAATTTGTTTGCACTTCATTTTCTTTTCAGCTCCTTCTGAGAACTCCGCCCCTCCTCCAGATGTGACGGCTGTGGCGCCCCCATCCAGAGGCCCGCGGGTGGACCTGCCCTCCAACGCCGTCGTCCGAGGGATGAGCCGCGGCCACAGCCGCTCCAGCATGATGGAGACCGCCGATGGTAACGGCTTCGCCACACAGTCGCCAAGCCTAAGCCTAGGCGTCTTTTTTATTAACATTTGCTTATTTCTCTTTCATGAGAAAGGTGTTGATTTTCATCTTTTGTATCACATGCATCAGACTTAATGTTTTTTTTTTTTTTTTTTTGTCTTTTTGATCCTTATTTGACTGGCTAACAGGGAGAGGTAATATGCAGAGTAAGGACACTTTTCGTAACCACAGCCTCTTATCTCCTGTTTCCTGGTGAACCCTCACTCTCCCTGTCGTTTGTACTGGATGATCATAGAAGGGAATACAACAAACTATCCTCATGTGTGGCCCTGAGATTGAAAACCTTTCTCCCAGATCTCTCTGTGTTTTCCCAGTATCGATGACACCCACCTAGAGCTGCTGCTTTTCATTGCCCCAACGTCGAAGTTAATGCTGATGAAAAGCCCAAACCCGTTCTAAAACTTATGAAATGGAATGAAGAACAGCAGATGATAAGATTTTAATGCATTTGAACACATCCTGACGTACCGTAATGTTCGCTAGGGCTGTGAAATGTCACTGCTTCATTCTCGCGTGTTTCCACCTTCACCATCTCCGTAGGAGTTCCTGTGAGCAGCAGAGTTTCCACAAAGATCCAGCAGCTGCTAAACACTCTGAAGAGGCCTAAGAGACCCCCGCTCAGTGAGTTCTTCACTGACGACTCCGAGGAGATCGTCCAAGGTATGCTGGCTCAGAAAACTCATTGACCCCTGACCCCGAAGTCGAGTTACAACTACTTTATCCATAAACGTGAACACAATCCCATCTGGGTTCACATTAGTGGATAGTAAATGTAGTAATCAGATAATGTTATAATTTAGTGTTATGTAATGTCATTCCCGTCATTTATGCACACTTTTTTTTGCATTGTTGGAGGTGTTTCAATGTTTGTGTTTTTAGCAACAAAAAGTGATTTTTTTTTTTTTAAATGAAGTTCTTAAAAAGCAAAACTTTGACGTATTTCAGAAATAGTCTAATTGGAATAATCAACCTTTACAGAAAAAAAAAAGTAAGCATAATTGATCCCTTTGATCCAAACACTGTACCCTGAGGAACTCCATAAGTGAGTAGGAAGTGTTTAAGTCTTTATGGAAACTTTTACAAATGTAATCTGTAGCCAGCAAATTCTAGATCAGTGCAGTGGAGCTTATTTTTTTTAAGATCATTAAATATTCCAAGCTCCGCCTCCGGGGCAGACATTTAGAAATTATTTACCTTTTTCCGTTTGGTTTGTTATGCCATAGGAGCAATAAGTAAATGTGATATTCTCTAAATAAATAAACTAACAATCTTTTTTGCTGTTTGCTCTTAAAATTAATAACATTACGTAACATTATTAACTCTACTTATTTCTGGTCTGCACATAAAATCCTGATTTTGTTTTCCTTTACTCAGTAGATGTAGCTTCAGAGCGGTGCATGTCTGATGACATCACACGTGTCCCGTCTCTGCATGAATAAAGAAGATTATGGGTGGACAGTAGGGACAGTACCTGTGAGCTGTAATGAATGCGTTTGGCTTGACTTTTTGTTGTCCTCGTAAAGAGAGTCATCCATCTGTAAACTACCCAAAAACCGTCTGTGGTCTCTGCTCATCACAGTGCCCCAGCCGGACCCCAACACTCCCCGGCCGGAGGGCCGTCAGATCATCCCGGTGAAAGGGGAGCCTCTGGGAGTGGTCAGCAACTGGCCACCAGCCCTGCAGGCGGCGTTGGCCCGCTGGGGGGCCACTCAGGGAAAGAGCCCCGCTCTCACTGCTCTGGACATCACGGGCAAGCCTCTCTACACCCTGACTTATGGTGAGACACAAGATTCAACTGTATGACCAAGGACTTAAGGTTTTTGGTCAAGTCTGTGTTTTTTTCTTTGTTTGTTTTTTTTTAATCTGCCTGGAAGCCTTATACTGAAAATGTAAAAAAAAAAAAAGTGTTTTATCCGTGACATGAGGTTGCTTTTGGCCGTGGTAACGTGTCGCCTCCTCCCCACCTTCTGTGTGCTAGGGAAGCTGTGGAGTCGCAGCGTGAAGCTGGCGTACACACTCCTGAACAAGCTGGGCACCAAGAACGAGCAAATCCTCAAACCCGGAGACAAAGTGAGGCTGCAGACACGCAGATACAGAAGAGGATTATTAGGACAGAAAATTTGCTGCAGGCATTTTTTTTTTTAAATATCTGCAAACCTCCGACATTAGCTGTGAAGATTCAGTACCATTTTACCAACAAGCCACATCCTTAAAATCTAGTTACAAGTCAACAGGAAAATGTGCTTATCATATTTCCACTTGTTAGAAGGTGTGATTTATTGTGACACTGTTCAAACCTCTTACACTTTTTAGTATGTCATCATAAAAACACAGTTTTTCTTGCGATTTATTGGGAATTTATGTGACAGACTAACAAAAAGAAGTGTATGATTGGAATATTGAAGGGAAAAAATACAAACTTTTATTAAAATGTAATACCTTTATTTTTCATTTGTATTTAGTCCCATTTGCTCTGATGCCAAAGTAAAATCCAGTGATAGCAATCGCCTACAAATGTCCCTTAATTAGAGTCAGATATAAAGTAAATCTGAGAAAAAATACAGAGATTGCAGGTGGTACTGTAGGATCTGTTGACAGGACAAAGTCATTAGACACAGATATTGCTTCAAGTTGCTCCCCGCTTTTTGTTTCTCTGTAAAACAAAATTAAGGATGAGAATAGTTTCTCAAGGGACTTCAGAGTTTTTACAGGGACCCCGCAGAGTTTTTTGCACAATCAATAGAAGTCGAGACAGAAAGCAGTCCTAAAGGGAAAGTTACTGTCTTGGTAGGTGGCGCTGGTGTATCCAAACAGCGACCCAGGAATGTTCTGGGTGGCCTTCTACGGCTGCCTCCTGGCTGAAGTCATACCTGTACCCATTGAGGTACCGCTGTCTCGCAAGGTATGGAACCCTTCACAGCAAATGGGCTCATTTAGACGTATATTTTGCTATATTTTGTGATTAACTGCATACTGCGTTTTTAGGATGCAGGTATCAGTCAGGTGGGCTTCCTGCTCGGCAGCTGTGGAGTCGGTCTGGCTCTGACGAGCGAGATCTGCCTGAAAGGCCTGCCGAAGACCCCCACTGGTGAAATACTGCAATTCAAAGGTATGGAAGGTGCCTGGAGTGTGCCGAGATATGTAAAGAGAAGAATAAGATGCACTTACTAGAAGATATGCCTTCAAACAACGAGTTTTAACAATAAAATGACCAGTAAAGTATTTTCAGCATCTTCCTATTAAACTCAATGTTTGTTTGATTAAAGCAGATTCTCATTTGAACCAAGTAAGAGAGAAGAGTGAACTACCAGGGGCAGAGCAATGTTAGGGATATACTTAGAATAAGTCCAGGCAGTTCAGTAATGCTCTATCTTGGTTCTGTGTGGTTAATAAAAAAGTTAAATGTTCCGTGTTTTAGTCCAGAGGAACTCAAAGCTCTTCTTTATGGTGGTGGGCTGCGTCGTACGGGCCGTGCAGATTGAAATGAGGGGTTTTGTTGGTGTTACTTTTTTCCCCGCAGATGTCGAAGTGTCTTGTCAGCGAATAAATAACGATCTCCCCTGAAGCAACAACTAACTCGTCAGTTTTATCCGATTTGACTGGCGTGCTTCTGTCTCAGCTAAATCAATTAAAGAGCGAGAGAGGCTTCGGGGGTCACATCATCGCTGTTGCTCTCCTAATAAAAACTCTAATACAAGATTTTAAACGTTGCATTTTGAAGGATTTCTTGAACAGAACAGTCAATCTCTCAATAATCAAGCCTGAAGCATGTTTTTATTATGTACTAGTCAACTCTCCTACTTACTACTTATAAAGCAGTAAGTAGCTTAGTCTTGGTGGTTCCTACTTTAAACTGCTTGGAAATAAAATGGACGGTGCCTTTCTAGTGAAATCTCCAAATGATTTTAATCTAAACGTTTAACTTACAGTTTCCTGATGATGCTCTTTGCCAGGTTGGCCTCGAATGAAGTGGGTGATAACAGACTCTAAATACCTGACCAAGCCGTCCAAAGACTGGCAGCCGCACATCCCCACAGCGAACACCGATCCTGCATACATCGAGGTAACAGAGCTGGGCTCGCCGACTCCCCCCTCACCCCCGATTCCAATTTTAGCCTGAACGACCCGTCTAATCCTATTGATAATTCATTTCAGCATGTTTGAGGACATGTTTGCACCTTTCTGACCGCATTTTGCTCCCTCTGTGTGAAGTACAAGGCCAGTAAAGAGGGCACGGTGGTTGGGGTGGCCGTCTCTAAAGTGGCCATGCTGACCCACTGTCAAGCGCTGACCCAGGCCTGCAACTACTGCGAGGGTGAGTGGATGGCTGGCGACGGCGTCGTACGCACGACACATCGGACGACAAAATGTTTATGATCTTCTTTGTGTTTCTGTTTTAAGGGGAAACTTTAGTGAATGTCCTGGACTTCAAAAAGGACATGGGCTTATGGCACGGTGTTCTCACTGTGAGTGTTTTCCCTCTGGATAAATTCATGCAATGTGCAGGTTTAAGTGACGCAACTCTTCTAAAAACATCCGGAGCCCCTAACAGAGGAGTCACTGCCACTGTTCCTGGCTTTATTGAAGAAAGAAACACAGAAGCATTAAACAATAGATATTTCTTCAGGAAGAAAAAAAAAAAAACCCTCAACAAAACAAAGAGAGTAGACAAAGTTAATGGCATTGTTATCTCCATCAGTGGCTCCTTATTGGAAAAAAACCCAGCAGGATTAACTGCAAATAATGCAGAATTGGAGAATTGATGACAAGTAGTTGAGAGAGGAGACGTGGTCAGTGTACCGTCCAGCAGCATTAGCCTATAGCAGAATAACTCTAGATGTTTCTGCAAAACTAAAGCCACTCTTAAGAATAAGGTTCATCAAGAACAGACAACTAAAAAAAACCAAAAAAAAACCCTAGTCTTAAAATTAGATTGTGATCAGTGAAAGTTCAGCTTCCTTTCCTTCACATCAAGAAACATCTGGAAAAGACAATAAAACATAAAAGGAAAATAATTAATTTAACAATAAATCTGATTATAACATTTTAACAGATGACAATTATAACAGTTAAAACATCAACATGTAAGAATGCCGCCTTGTAGTTTGCCTCCAGCTAAACTTTACTCTGTTTTCCCGTGTTTTTTTTTTTGTTTTGTTTTTTTGTCCCAGGCTGTAATGAACAGGATACACACCATCAGCGTTCCCTATGCCGTAATGAAAGCTTGTCCTCTCTCCTGGGTGCAGAGGGTCCACATGAATAAAGGTAAACGACGTCAGTCTTTCGCTGCGAGCCTCGTTGTTGTTTAAAATCCCGTGTGACTTGGTGCGTTTCTCTTCCTGCTCTGCAGCTCGCGTGGCTTTGGTGAAGTGCCGTGATCTGCACTGGGCCATGATGGCTCATCGGGACCAGAGAGATGTCAGCCTGGCTTCACTGCGAATGCTCATTGTTGCTGATGGTGCTAACCCCTGTGAGTAAATCTGGAAAAACCCGCTTTGGCTGAACTCCTGGTTCTAAGCATGTCTGAAGGAGTCTGGAGTTTATTTTAAGTTTTTTTTTTTCCAGGTATGTTTAAAAATGTAAGAAAGAATTAAAAAAAATATTTGCTTCCATTTGTGTTTGTGCTTTAAAATTGAACAAAAACCTTCTATATATATATATATATATATATATATATATATATATATATATGTATGTATGTATATGTATTTTTATTTTTTATTTTGGCAAAATGTGGCATTTTGAAATCAAAATCGTTCAACATGCCTGTTGCAGACCCAAATGGATTTGATGTAACATTTTGAATCTGTTCGTTTCCAGGGTCTGTCTCTTCCTGTGATGCCTTCCTGAATCTGTTTCAGTCACATGGACTGAAGCCTGAAGTTATCTGCCCCTGTGCCGCCTCCCCTGAGGCCATGACAGTAGCTATCCGCAGGTACCTCACTGTTCCTTTGTTTTTAACATGTTTTTTGTGGACTTTAGGATGGGAAACAAAAAGAACCTGAACAAGATAGATGCATTGCCTTAGCTTAATTTTAACCAAGCTCACTAAGCCTGGGGCCTATTAAAGGACACTACAACCGAGGACATCGAATGCTTCTAGTTTTCTCCATTTTCTGCAGACTGTTGCAGTTCTGCTTATATGTCTGCTTTTTAAAAATCTAACTAGAGTTATCATCCAGTTAATGAGAGCAGACATGACCTTTTAGGAGGAAAATCTAAAAAAAAAAAAAAAAAAAAAAAGATATTTCAGATTATGAATTATAATGGTAGCTGCTGCAGTAACGGTCAAAAGTGTGAAGAATTCATTTGTTTACCACCAGAGCCACAAAGCAACATAATTAATCTATGAAAGACACCACAACCTCCGTATGTTTTTCTGGAACTGCTACATGGATGAAAATGCACACTTGCACATTGGCTGATGGTAAAAGTGGTAACCAAAGAGATGAGATGGGTGTAATTGCAAATATTTAATTGAGTTTTTGCTTTCTTTAGGCCGGGAGTCCCAGGCGCGCCCCTCCCCGCGCGGGCCATCCTCTCCATGGGCGGCCTGAGTTACGGGGTCATCCGGGTCAACACCGAGGACAAGAACTCCGCCTTGACCGTACAAGACGTGGGACACGTCATGCCTGGGGGTGAGGACCTGCATTAGTCATGTGAAAAGAAAGAAAAATAAATGTCATGCAGATACAGAGGTTAGAGGAAGCTGCAACAAAGCCACATCGAAATTTACTGGAACATAAACACGTAAAAGTACCATCGTGCTGTCTGGTGCTGGTGCCGTCTGGAAAGCCACTGCATGGAAATAATAGTTAGTCAGAAGAACGCACAATGAGACATCAGTCATAAGTTTTTATGTTTGGTTGCGACAAATCACTTTTCCACCTCCTGAATCCAAACAAAACAAAACGGGCATTAACCAGCTGGTTACAATAGATCATTTAAAGAACGGTGTCGTAGACTGTAGTGTTTCACAAATGTTTTAAACTCTCAATACAAACTGAAGTGAATCATTTCTGCTTTTTAAAACTTCATATGAGCTATTTTTGAGACACGACAGTAGAGTGAGTTAGTTCATGACACTACAGAGATAGTACATGTTCATATTTTTGTAGAATTTTTTTTTTTATTTTTCTGGATGGTAACAAGATGCAGCAGCTGAAGGAAGCAGGTTCTCATTTATTCCAGGTTTTTAGGAACTACCTCAACAGTTTCTACTCACATGCAGTTGGTTCTGCTGCTTTTTGTAACTCTATCGATTTGTAACAAGTCATCGGACGCGTCATGTTAGTACGGTCAAACAAATCCCGTACTTAACTGCAGAAGACATAGATGTAGCTGACATTTTTAGCCGATGTCCCTGACAGAAAGGCATCAGGATTACAGCCAGCACGCTCAGTGTCATTGTTTAAGGGATTCCAATTATTTCATGGTTTCCTCTTTTGTACCTTCAGCTCTGATGTGTATAGTTAGGCCAGACGGGCCTCCTCAGTTGTGTAAAACCGACGAGATAGGAGAGATAATAATCAACTCCCGTGCTGGAGGCACGATGTACTACGGCCTTCCTGGACTCACCAAAAACACCTTTGAGGTATGTGTGAGGGGGGAGATGATCCAACAGCCTGCTGTGTGTGTGTGTGTGTGTGTGCGTGCGTGCGTGTGTGTGTGCTGACAGGAAGCTGTTTAATGTGGCTTTCTCTCTGCAATTTGCTCAGGTGATACCGGTTAACGCTAATGGAGTTCCTATTGGAGAGATTCCATTTGTGCGGTCAGGACTCCTGGGGTTTGTTGGCCCAGTAAGTACGACTCATTATATCATCTCCAGTCGTGTGAAACCGTGGCTCCCTCAACATGCATTATACTGACTCAGCTTTTTGCCCCTCCTCCCGCCTTCACAGGGCAGTTTGATCTTTGTGGTGGGGAAGATAGAAGGCTTACTGATGGTGAGCAGCCGGAGGCACAACGCCGACGACCTGGTGGCCACCGCTCTGGCCGTGGAGCCGGTCAAGACGGTGTACCGTGGAAGGTAGACGAAGCATGTTCCTCCAACGTGTGTGACTGTTGATTTCTCTCTTTATCGCTACTGACATCTACTGGTTGAAAGCAAACATAGCATGTAAAAAAAAAATGCAGTTGGACAGTTCAGTTTGTTGCAAACTTGTTCCAAGTCTCTTCACTTCATCACCACAGACTTTAATTTATTTTTACTGGGGATGAATGTAAAGTGTTGCATAATTGTGAAGTGGAGAAAAATAATGCTTGATAAAAAAAAATATTGAGAATAAATCTGATAAGTTTGACTTGTTTGTCTTCATTCCCCTGATTAAAATCCGGTACAATTGTGCAGTCAACAATATATCGTCTTCTGAACTACTTTATGTCGGTTTATTTATGTGAGTTACTAAAGGGACATGGATACTTTTTCTGTAGTCCTTCTATGTTAAACTGTTTCTGAATTATTTGAAAAGTCTCCACTATTTTCTCCCGTTCCTGTTTGTACGTCAGGATCGCTGTGTTTTCAGTCACCGTGTTCTACGATGAGAGGGTCGTAATTGTCGCGGAGCAAAGGCCAGATGCCAGCGAGGAGGACAGCTTCCAGTGGATGAGCAGAGTGCTTCAGGTAAACGAGAAGCGTCTTAATTAATGTTTCCAAGTGACCAACGTTTGACCTGGTTTCCTGGCTTCCCCCTCCAGGCCATCGACAGCATCCACCAGGTTGGCCTTTACTGTCTGGCTCTGGTCCCGGCCAACACCTTGCCCAAAACACCCCTCGGCGGCATCCACATCTCCGACACCAAGCAGTTCTTCTTGGATGGGAACTTGCACCCCTGCAACATCCTGATGTGCCCCCACACGTGCGTCACCAACCTGCCGAAGCCCCGCCAGAAGCAGCCGGGTGAGTCTGACAAAAGAATTACTCACTCATTGTTATTGTTGTCTCTCTACGTACTGTATGTCAATCTGTTGTGCTACTTTTCGTTGACTAATTTGGCAATAGATAGTGGCCAAAAAATAAAAAAACAAAAAATGTACACAAAGATTAGGATCAGCTTAAATACAACAGTAAAAACATGTTAGAAATTACAATTAAAAGAAGGTATGAATGCACATTATGGTCAATAAACATCTAGTTCCTAACATATTGAAATCATAAAGTGCTAACGTGTATAAATTTGTGTTGAAATAATGTTTTTTTTTTGGTTTTTCCTTTTATTTTGTTTGTTAGATGTAAATCCTGTTACAGTAACTGTGGTGGTATGAAAAGTAAATTAAGATGTATATTGTACTCAGGTGTCAATAAAAAACATCCAGAGTACTTGATTGTAAGGTGCTGGTTAATGATAGTTAACATAATTACTTCACCCTCTGCTGAGAAGGTAAATAATCCAATTGTGAAAGAAATAAAAACAGTTTTTAATCTCAGGGATTATTTTGGCTTCTGTTTCTCCCGAATCATTAAGATGTTATTGTTTAGTACTTGATTTGCAGCAAAGTTGATAAGATTTTCTTTCCCTCTATGTTGACATTTGTATATTTGTGTTGCTCTCCTGCTACATTAAAACAAGAACTGCATTTAGTTCATTAATCATAAGTAACTGTGACTAAAAAGAGAATCTCTTCATGTCAGCGTGCGTTGGCTTTTCGATGCTTACCGATGTCTTCCTCTTTCGTAGTCGGAGTCGGTCCTGCGTCCGTCATGGTGGGGAACCTGGTGGCGGGGAAGCGGATCGCCCAGGCTGTAGGGAGGGATCTGGGCATGATCGAAGACCAGGATCTGGTCCGAAAGGTAGGACTTTAACCCACGTGTCCAACCAAACGCTAGATCCTAATCTATTGAATTACTAACAGCACCTGCCGCTACATAAGCTGCAGGAATGATGATACATTTGATACTCAATATTTGGTGTTAGAGTTATAAAAGTGATGATTGGATACTATCGACTGCCACAGTAGATCCAAAGCCTTGTTTTACAGAAAAAAATCTGGATTCTTCTTTCCTTCTGCTCCGTTTTTTTTTTTTTTTCTTTTGGATGTAGCTCTGTATGTGGCCCACTGTGATGGTAAGAACTGCAGTCCTCTCTGGCATGACTCCCCACACCCGTGTTTATTCACGTGTTAACCTGTGCTGTGGTGCATGCTTGTTTGAGTTTTATAAGATATGCATCCTCTGATGTTCACTACCTCTCACACCCAAGTGGTTATAAGAGCTGTGTTGACTCAGAGCAGAGTTGGGTAGTAACTAGTTGCATTTACTTGAGTAACTTTTTGGGGGGGGGGGATTTTTACTTTTAGGAGTATTTTTACTCTGCTGGACTTTTTATTTTTACTTATTATGAAGTATTACTACTCTTACACGAGTAAAATCTCTGAATACTCTACCTGCTGTTCTTCACTGAATGAAGAACAAATGTTTTTAAATAAAAGTTAAGCAGATCCAGACACACACTTTCGGTTTTTGTTCAAGCTTCACAAATTTTATATTGAAAGAAATTGAATTGGAAATATTTTCTTTCATCTGACTTTGATTTTTGTAATTATGTTATTTATATGAATTAGTTTCCATTTAGTTCCTTGAAATACCAACTTTTTCCACACAACCTTATATTTTGATCTGTTTGATGATGTGATCTACTGATGTTTTGATCTCTTTACCAAATACTATTTTTTACTCTTGCTTGAGTAATTTCTCGGAGGACACGTTTTATTCTGAGATGAGTAAAATATATTGCAGTGGTTCTGTTCTTACTCGAGTAAAATGTTTGGGTTCTCTACCCACCTCTGACTCAAAGTGAGAGTTATACGTTATGTTGGATGTTTATGTTGGATTATTTGTCACTGAGCTGTGCAGCCTCTGCGCGCCACTTTATTTTACTCCCATCAGGATTTGCCCTGTGTAATTGTTTGCGCTTCTGTAGATCTGTTGCTGTTCATTAGTTTTCTCACCAAATTGCAGCATCAGTATTTGACTGAAGCTCTTCAGTGGAGGGCCCAGACTGACCCGGACCATGTTCTCTACGTTCTCCTTAATGCAAAGGTACAAAGTTACTCCTGTCCGGCTTCTCCCAACACTGATTTCTGCATTACTCTACATCACGTGTCTTTATCTCCTCTTTTTTTTTGTTGTTGTTGTCCTTTAGGGTGTGTCAGTTGGGACAGCGACCTGCGTCCAGCTTCACAAGAGAGCAGAGAAGATAGCAGCTGCCCTTTCTGAGAAAAGCAGCATCAACACCGGGGAGAATGTGGTGCTGCTCTATCCTCCTGGCAAGTTGCCTCTGACTCTGTCTAAAGATTACTTACGATGAGACTTAAATGATTTACATTTTTTTTTTATAACTGTGCGGTTGTCCTCCATGTTTTCGCACAGGGATCGATTTGATCGCGGCCTTCTACGGCTGTCTGTACGCCGGCTGCGTTCCGGTCAACGTCAGGCCTCCGCACCCGCAGAACCTGGCAGCCACTCTGCCGACTGTTCGGATGATCATTGACGTACGCCTGTTTAAAAATGTTTTCGTCACGTTACTTTTAAATAATCATGGTAGCTTTTATGCTGAGAAATAATCAGAAACGTGGAGATATTTAATTTATTTGGATATTTACAATGCTTTGCAAAAAGAAAAGCACTCATACTCTCCAGAGGGCATTAATGACGCCTGGACTGTCGACAAATTTTCACTCGCGTTCATATCGTCGATGTTCTTCGTGTTTAACAGTTGCGTGACCTGTTGAAGGCACATCTTGTTTACAAAACAAATCTATATCAGCAGCAACATCAGCTGAACAATTCAGCATCAGAAAGAGCGATCATGTTGCGTGATTGGGTGTGTGGGTGTTCGTTCCTCATTTAAATTCTGCAGCAGCTTCTGCTTTCCTTATGAATCACACCTGTGTTTTCTTGCCAGGTCAGCAAAGCCGCGTGCATCCTCACCACGCAGAACCTCATGAGGATCCTGCGCTCCAAAGAGGCTGCAGCATCCGTCAACATCAAAACCTGGCCAACCGTCATTGACACAGGTGATAAAACCCACCGATTCAGTTCAATTTAAACATTTAGGGACCATTCATAACACGTCATCTCCAGGCACTTGAGAAAGAAAAAGTTCATTTCCGTCCAATCACACATATATTCAAATAGACCCGAGTTAACAAACAGTCCAGTAAAGTTCAGTTCATTATTAAAATTGGTTATAGAAATTTTCTATGCACTGAAACCCAGCAGATTTCGTTGACTTAAAGCATTCACTCCTCCTGAACGGGAACGTGGCGACAGCAGACAGTTGCTCACATCGTGTGGTTTTCATTTCTCTGTAAAACAGGATTCTCCAAAGATGAGTTATGAGAGATACATACCCATAAAATGTTATTTAACAAAACATTATTCTGTACTTATTTCTTACTGTCCTACATGCATTTTCTTCCTTTTAAAAGCGTTGCTCTGTTCTTGTTTGCAGACGACCTCCCTCGCCGACGCCCTCCACAGATCTACAAACCTCCCACAGCAGAGATGATCGCTTATCTGGACTTCAGCGTCTCCACTACAGGCATGCTCACTGGCGTCAAGGTGGGAGATCCTGCTTTTTGCATGTCTCTAGTAAAATTCATTTCTAAAATATAACAGTCAGATTATCAAACTGTTACCATAATATATATATATATATATATATATATATATATAACAACTGTAAAATGTAATTATTCATACAATATGGACTGCAATCGCACTGAATAGGCTCAAAATGACTCTATCTCGACATAATCATGAAATAAAATTGTTATCACGACGAGACAGGATTGAGATCTAATGTGAATTTTCTCATCTAGACAGCTGTTTATGTTATTGTGACAAAATAATGAAATGTTATCAGATAATCAGACCCTAAAACTGTATAAAATCATTTGAATTTCTTGCTATCTTGAGATAAAGATGCAATAAACACATTATCACAAAAAGAAAACTGAGACCTCACTTCTGAGTGATAAAATAAAGCCACAAAACCAGGTTAGTAGTTTTATTCTCCTGAGAAAATGACACAATGACACATTACTGAATGCTTTGTCATCTCAAGGTTATGATTAAGTGAAGCAACTTTTGCAACAAAACAAACTTGTCATCATCTTATGTCGTTACAGCAGGCTAATAAAACTTCATTCTGACAATGAAACCAGCGTGAGATCTTTTTCTCTCTACTTAATTAGACAATCAAATGGTGATTGCTCTCCATATTTGAAAAGAAACCAGAAAATAACAGTAGTTAAAAACCTTTTCTGTGCATTCATCACAGATCTCTCACGCAGCAGTCAGTGCCCTTTGTCGCTCCATAAAGCTGCAGTGTGAGCTTTACTCTTCTCGCCAAATTGCCATCTGTCTGGATCCTTACTGCGGTCTGGGCTTCGTCTTGTGGTGCCTTGCAAGGTGCAGTGAGCCATCGCCTCCTTTACGTTATGCTTGTGTCTGCGCTGGTTTTCCTCAGCTCTTCATCATCATTTTTTTTTTTACTTTAACCTTCAGTGTTTACTCTGGCCACCAGTCTATCCTGATCCCTCCTTTTGAGCTGGAGAGCAGCGTGTCTCTGTGGCTGAGCACGCTCAGTCAGTACCGCATCAGGGACACTTTCTGCTCCTACTCCGTCATGGAGCTGTGCACTAAAGGGCTGGGCACTCAGACCGACTTACTGAAGGTGAGGGCCTGCGCACAACACACACTCGGGGTTTGTGGCGAACAAACTTGGATATGATTGTCGCGTCTGGTTGTGCTCAAGGCCCGCGGGGTGAACCTGTCGTGCGTGCGGAGCTGCGTCGTGATAGCGGAGGAGCGTCCTCGTCTTGTCCTCTCGCAGTCCTTCTCCAAGCTGTTTAAGGACGTGGGGCTGTCGTCCAGGGCGGTCAGCACAGCTTTTGGCTCCAGAGTTAACCTTGCTATCTGCCTGCAGGTAAACCAAACATCAGCACTTGTTCTGTCTTAGTTTGATTGACGTACCTCCTCTGGTCTGAACAATTGTAAAACAAAAAAAAGAAACCAGGATTCGTAATATTTGTATTTTCACTGTTTAAAATATGCTAACCCAGGACGGGTTGGCACTGTCCCTTTAGCTCAAGCCAAGTTGCCTGCCAGTTTCTTTATGTAGATTTTTTTTTTTTTTTTTTTTTCACATTTTATATTTGCGGTGAAATAATTCAATATGGATTTTCAACATTAAAAGTGTGAACCTGTCTGACGTTTTGTGCGTGCCACAGGGAACCACAGGCCCTGATCCCTGCACGGTGTATGTGGACATGAAGTCTTTACGTCATGACAGGTAGGAGCACAGGAGGCTCGTTTTTAACTAAAACAGCATGATTAAATAAACCACTCAACGCTTTTAAGCTTCAAAACTGAGCTTTGGCAATATGAAATAAGTTAGAAATGTTACTCTTTTTTTTTCCGCAAAACGTTTTAAACTGTGATTCTATTTCTGTTATGAGCATAATGCATTTACCCTGAGTTTTGAATAAAATACACAAAAATAATAAAGATCAAATTCCTGATTGCTTTTCCTCTTAATGATGTCTTTAAATTTGATGCCGTTAACCGCAGCAGCTCAAAACCTCTTTATCTACTAGGCTCTGTATTATCTGTTCTCAGCATCCTTTAAACGTCCTTTAAACGTTTTAGATTATTTTTTTTTGTCTATTCCTGATTATTATAAAAGCTCAGGTACTTGACATTCTCATTCATCTTTTAATGCGTTCTCTGTTTTAAAAACATGCCTCATTTCTTTCTTTAAGTCGTTTACTACGCCTTAAACAGGATGCAAATTGTGATTTTTACGTTGTCTCTTCGAAGTATTTAATATTCTTCCGTGATAAAGACGCGATATGGATGACAGCATATGTCGGTGTAAAAGCTGTGTCATCCAGCATTAACAGAGCCTCTGCAGACAGGCGAGCTACTCATACCATCTGTCTGAACTTGTCCAACACCGTCACAATTTTTAGACTCTGGGATTTTGTTCTGGTAATGCGCCAGATGGTTCCTCGCCTCGTCAGTTCAAAGGATGCAGGGATTTCAAAATCTGAGCCGTCTGGATACGGAACGGTTTTCCACTTCACCTTACCGAACTTTACAGCTCAGTCCGTTTCAGGTTTTTGAAATTTGTTATTTGTTCGTAGCATAAAACCAGTTTTACTTTTAATTCACAAGGAGCGATCTTATTTTGTTCCGGTTTTGATGCCAAAAATGTCACAATCGCAACAATTAAATTGTAATAATTATTTATACATGTCATGAAAAAGATCTGTAATTACTTACTTGTCCACAATTTGTTCAATTAGCAAATTAACTGAGGGCAGGTATATTAGGATACTTGTATGCAGTTCTCTAAATCCATTAAAAAAGCAATCATTGGTAACTAATCAAGTATTATTTCATAATACTTAGAAAACCTAATTTGTTATAGTATAATATTTACTCCATTTTCACAGTGCAGTTCCTGCAGCTCACCACGAAACACTTCAACCTGCCACTCTGGCTCGTCAAATAAATAAAAGACTCAACATCTGCACAATAAATCCACTACGGTGTCAGTGGGCTGGGCTTCCTCTGCAGACTCTTTTTCTATCGATTGTTGAATGCGGGCAGGTTTAACGAGCTGCAGCGACATCCGCTCTTTAAAACGGAAAAAGACAGTAAATGGCTTGCACCTCAAGCAAGGTTATAAAAGTCAAAGGGTCGTTCTGCACGTCTGAATTCTCTCGAGACATCCGGTGCAGGAACGCTTGCGTCAGTCCCTCCCACTGGCACTGTTGTGGACGTAACCTGCATTATATTTCTGTTGAGCAGACAAATGGGGTGTGGTGTGTGGTCTGCAGTCGTAGCTTGATGATATTTCTGCTTAGTGTCCCTTTTAGGTTTAAGGCTCAGCATTTTTGTAAACGTGTGCCTGACTGTTTATGTTGTTGGGCGTTTCAGAGTGAGGCTGGTGGAGAGAGGAGCACCTCAGAGTCTTCCTCTGATGGAGTCTGGCAAGGTGGGGAAACGTAAAGTGTACTCCACTGTTATAGACCGTCTTGCTAAATTCTCACACAAGAACATGTTGATGATATATTGGTGTCGTTTCTTTAAGATCCTGCCAGGCGTCAGGGTGATCATCGTGAACCCAGAGACCAAAGGTCCACTCGGCGATTCTCACCTGGGGGAGGTAAAGTGGTTGAAGTTGCTCGTTTGAGGCGACAGCGTCTTTGTACCAACATAAAAAACACTCCAGGGTTGAGCAAACACAATTTTTGTTTGCCTGCCTCAGATCTGGGTGAACAGCCCTCACAATGCCAGCGGTTACTACACCATCTACGGCGAGGAGAGTCTTCAGGCCAACCACTTCAACACCAAGCTCAGCTTTGGAGACCCGCACACTTTGTGGGCCAGAACTGGATACTTGGGATTCGTGAAGAGGACAGAGCTGCTGGACGCAAGTGGAGGTAAAGAGGCAGACCAAACTCAAAACTAACTTAAAATAAGTTAGCCTGAAATTAGACGATTGGAATTGGTAAGTCTGAATATACAGGGCTTGTGAAAACAGATCATCAGATGATTTAGGTATTTAAAAATGCATAAAAGACTAAATAAGTTTCAGCACTACTGGTGATGATGCTTTTTTTTTTTTTTTTTTACAAATTATTCCACGGAGACGTCACAACAAAGCTTATCAACAGTTATTGACAAAGCTTTCAAACTTTATTCGCACCTCTTGAACTTTTCCACATTTTCTCTCATCATTAGCTGCAAAATAATAGTATAAACTGAAGTATTTTGGGGGCTTTCTGCAACAATTCAACACAAAGTAGTACATAAGAAAAATTATCCATAATTTTGAATTTTTTTACAAACAAAAATGCCCTTCCTTCCACTCTGCTCCAGTGTGCCACTTTGTGTTGGTCTATCACATAAAATGCTGATAAGAAACTCGTGACTGTGGAAAGGCTTGAGGGGTGCCTTTTGCAAGGCACTACACCATATTCCCTGTGATTACAAAGAGATAAGTTCACTCTTACAGTAACTGAACAAAATTTTTCTTTGCACTCTGCAAATATTTCTTTGTGTCTCAGATCGGCATGACGCTCTATTTGTGGTTGGGTCACTGGATGAGACGCTAGAGCTACGAGGGTTACGCTACCACCCCACCGACATCGAAACATCCGTGTCACGAGCTCACCGGAGTATAGCTGAGAGGTGAGGGTGCCGCCGATGCTTTTCCAATCCTAAAAATCGTTCCCGTTTGTGTTTCCAATTACATTTTGGCGACGTCCCAGCTCATTCCGGGTGGTTCGACGTTATCCCTGTGCCTCTTTCTCTCGCTCTTTAAACCTCACCGACGTAAATCTCCTCGCTCTCGTCCCTTGCAGTGCTGTGTTTACATGGACCAACCTGCTGGTGGTGGTGTCGGAGCTGTGCGGCTCGGAGCAGGACGCGCTGGACCTCGTGCCCCTCATCACAAACGTGGTGCTGGAGGAGCACCACCTCATCGTGGGCGTGGTGGTGATCGTCGACCCGGGCGTCATACCCATCAACTCCAGGGGCGAGAAGCAGCGGATGCACCTGCGTGACTCGTTCCTCGCCGACCAGCTGGATCCCATCTACGTTGCGTACAACATGTGAGGAGCTTGTGGCCATCCGATGGGTGCGATCTCTGGATCCGTCTTCTGCGGCGTCGCGGGCTCGATGGAGTGTGTGTGTGTGTGTGTGTGTGTGTGTGTGTGTGCGTGTGTGTGTGTGTGGAGAGCAGAAAAGCATGAAGCACGTGTACAGACACGCAGCCACGTGTGACACCAGCATATCTACACCACTGCATGTCTGTGTTTGGGGTTGAACACTGTGTTTTTTCTATGAACATAAAATCATGCAGACAAGGCAGTGAACGTACCGTAAGATGAAAGGCAAAGCAAAGTCTCTGATGCACTTTTTTTCTGTGTAGAAATGACAAAATAAGACGACAGGTCAATTTTGATAACAAAAACTGGCGTCCTGTCTTGGTGAAAGTCTGTCCCCTTCACGTCCACACAGAGCTACTAATCTCAACACGGCTTGAAGTATTTTTGTACGTTCAACTTTCAAGCAAGCTCATCCCCAAACGCATGTCCCGAGCCCCTTCATTTCATTTCTTAGCAACGTGGATAAGCAAGAGGACAAGCCATGAAGACAGACCTCTGTCTCAGCCAGTGTGCATACTTAGAAATCTGTTCCCCTACTTTTATCGAAACCAAATAGATAATTCCTGCTTTGATATATTTCCTGCCTTACAAAACTTCAGCCATACATTCCTATCTTTAACTTTTAATAAAATTGCTATTAATGGCTTTTAGATTCTTCCTTAACAAGTGGAGCAAAAGTTCTGACAAATATCCAAAAGGGACGATAACAAAACAAGAGCCCATACACTGTACTGTAACAAAGAAAAGGGTATCTTTGTATTTTCGATACTGTATGTCACTGTATAGATATTTTTATTTGTATAAATGTATAATTGTTTTGTTCACCTTTCTCAGCTGCTCCTCTCTGAATAAGTAACTGAGCTGGGAGGCTGTAACAGTAGCAGGAAGAAGATTGTAAATAGGATCTAACAGTTAAAAGTACTTTTGTTTGGGGATATTAGCTATATATGGGATTATTAAAGATAAATAACTTTAAATCATTATGTATCGGTATGGATATAACGTTGCACTTTTTGAAGAAACAAAAAAAGAAAGATCTATTTTATTATAACAATGAGGCATTATGAGCATATGGTTCAGGAGCACGTTATTCTGAGCAGAATAATCCAACGTTTACTGGGAGGGCTATCACTGTTAATGCAGGAACTTTCCCCCGTTAGTGTCTGTAAGGAAGGCTGCACAACTAATAATATGACTGTTTTCAGGCGGACGGGTTACTTTGTGGAAAAAAAAAAAGAAGTATAAAAAATGATGTCCACTTACATCCATGGCCACCACTCTGCCAAACAGTTGTGTAAAACATTATGGAGCGATAAGTTCAAACCAGGTTCCTCTCGGCATTCAAAAGCTCAAACTTTTTTCTTTTTTTTTTTTTTTTAATGTGTTTGTGCAACTTTTTGTATATAATTATTTTGAATTCTCAAAGCAATGTTGTTTGTACTGTAACAGGCAGAAAATAGTCAACATGTGTCATAAATTATTTTCTGCATCGTCACTGGAATATTTAAGCACTTGTGAATGCAGCTGCAGGCTGAGCCACATGCCATCCAGAGGAAAATAAAAACACCTGACAGAGATGAGCACAAAAGTACTGCATCTCATCAAAATGTTCTGTTCAAAAGTTTACATCCACTCATGGTGAGTGTGAGCGTCATGTTAATTTGGGGTTTGTTAAGTGATTGTACCACAAAGAGCTTTAATGACTTAATAAGCCAGAACTGAGTGCACAAGTATGAACTCTCCCGTAACTACACGGGATCAAAGTAATAAGATAAGCTTATATATATTCATACAGCCCCAATCTATAAAAAAACAAACTTGTGCATCCGTGTTTGTTTTTGTATAATCATTTAACTCCCAAAAGAGAACAGCTGACATCGAATTATTTCTAAAAATTTATACACAAGATAAGTGTATGTAAACGTTTGACCAGCAATCATGCTCTTCCCTTGTGCTTTATCATTTAAAGACTCTACATAATGACTTGCACAATGTTTCAGTGATGAAACCTTTGTTTCAGCCCAGAATTTTTTCTAATTCTTAATTTTTTTTTTCTGGCTTTGCCGTTGCCCCATTTTACCATTTAAACAAATCTAGCCCAATTTTTGAGATATTTGCAAATCTCAACGGTAATCACAAACATCAAAATAATGCACTCTGCACTGTTTAATAGTATTTGCCCCATCCTGCTTCACATGACACAGTGCCCCATTTTAACAACATCGGGTCCAACAGTGCTTCATCTTAGCTTTAACCCTTTGTTTCATAGTTGCAGCAGAATGTTGGCACGACTCGGCCACGAAGGGACTGGCTCGAGGTACATCTTATTTTTGACATAGTAGAAGAGATAAACAGGTATGAAACTGTAACTTCAGGGAGTAAAACTGGTAAAACAGGACTGGACCTGGTGATCCAACAAGTATGAAAGAGCGGGATCCATAAACTGGATATTTGACAAAAATGAGTCTCTGCAAATTATCAGAGATCTGAAGCGACAACCAGAATCCATCTACCTGCTTTGCTGGGAAGTCTACAAGGGCTTCTTCTGGTTCTTACTCTTTTGTTTTTTTTTTCCAACTTCAGATTTCTTACACTATGCAATCCTAATGATGGTGCAATTTAATTTCAAAGCTTGCACAATATGGAAAAATAAACATGATGCTAATTTTTTAAAGACTAAGAAGAACTGATCAGTTTTACCCAGTAGTGTACTTAAGATTGCATTCATCTCTACTGAGTTGTCAATATTTTGTGTATGCACTCTGACTATGTTGTATATTAATTACTCTGTGAAATCTATATTTGCTTCAAGAGGGCGTAATCCACTGTCTATGGAGGTGTTTTAACTCAACATGTTAAATATTAAGTGGTACACCCTTTACCATTTTGCTTTCTACCATTTTGGTTTGTTGTACTTTGTTTTATACTTAATGTATAAGTAATGCAGAATAAACCGAAACATTTAATCATACAATGTGCCTCAATATTTCTGTACTTATCGTAGTGCACAGAGAATGACAGGAACTGAAATGTTAGACTTTACATTATTTGAAAAATAGTCTCTTTTAATGTTAATGTTGAAAAGATTAATTTTAAGTTCATTTGTTGTGTTGTGTTATATGATATTCCATATTTCTGCAGTGATTTGAATATATATGAAACCACATACCATGTTGGAAACCTATACAGTTCCTGGTAAAATAGGGACAAGAACTTCAAATTGTATCATAATTTATTCATAATCTACATGATACATAAAGCAACGTGTGCTCACTCAGCAGTACAAATGTACTTTCAGATGCAGAGTATGCATAAAAAGTGCAAATCCAAGAAACAACCTATGCATTTAATTTAAAAAAAAGAATTCAAAACATTAGAAAATACCAGAAAATCATGCTACAAAAAGTTATAACTATAGATGTTGTGCCCCAGAAAATGTCATGTTCAAAATTCAGATTTGCCACCATTAAATAAGCGGCAGAAGCTTCACTTTAAAAAAAGATGGTAATATAAAAAAATAAGGAAAGACTGTAATAAGTAATGTCTTTATTATATTACTTTTATTTAGAGATGATAATTTGAGTGAACTCCCCAGTACAATTTTGGAGGTATGTAAAAAAAAAAAAAAAAAGCTATTAAAGCACAGATTAATATCTCTGACGTAATACAGGTTTAGTGGGGAGCAGGATTTAAGTAATAAGATCATAATTCATTGAATTATTGCACAACAGTAGTATTATTACACAAGTGCGAGTATATTTGTTGAAACCTTACATATTTTGAATAATAAAATGTCTCCATATGTTTTTTACAACTACAAGTACAGAATTACGATATGCAATAATATTTTATTCTACTGTAATATTGTTTTATTGTACAACTCCAGCAAACTCCAACTTTGTGGCACGGCACGCTCAAACTTTTTCCTCCAATCACAAAGCTCAAAGGAATAATTACGTAATCCTTTCTGTACTCATAAGCCCCGCCCATTTCCTTTGAGGGGGGAGAAAAGTGGTCAGCTATTTTTTTTTAAGCTGACATCTTCGTGTTTTTAGCTGTTAGCCGTTACTGCTAAGTAAATTTACAGGTTCCTACCGAAATAAAAGTCTTTACACCAATTGCCCGAGCTTCACGCTGTGAACAAGAACAGTCCCACTTCATTGAGAAGGTAAATTATCCAGCTGGCTGAGCGGTACTTTTTGTACTCGTCTGTCTGTCTGCTCCGCTCTGGCCGTAATGGCGGCTCGTCGCTTCGTCAACGGCTCGCCGTTCTACGAAAAGGGAAGGTGTAGTTAGCTTAATGGCTCCTCGTATCGCTGACGTCTTTTGACGCGATAAGTTGCGTGCCAGTGACAGAGTTACATATATTTGCTCACTCAGACAAAAAGCTCATCCGTGCCGTATACCAGCCTAACGAAACTTGCCAAGCATATAATTCAGAAACGGTTGCTTTTATCGCTCTAAAGTGTATTACATCCGCTTAAGTGGTTAGCCACCGTTAACTAGTAGCTCTAAGATTAGTGAGCTCGAACGTTCTAGAAGTAGAAGCTATATATTTTTAAGTGCTGGAGTTTTTTTCGTTATAAAGTTGTACATTTTGTAGGATTGGGCATCAAATCAATGAGGGTAAAAAGTCAACAGTATTGACTCCAGATCCCTGCAGTGTTTCGTAACTCGATATTAACGTTACTTGCATTGCCAAATTTGAGTCAACCAAAGAGGAAGTCGTATTCTGGTTGACTTAATTTTCATTTATTTAAGATCATAATTGATCTGAAACAAAAAGTTACAAGAAGGAGGTTTTTAGTGGTTGCGCATATTTTAAACGTTTATTTAGGCGCAATCAGTCGGACCATGCGGCTTGGTGTTTTCAGCAAAGTAAGGGGAACGGCGCGGCACAACAGCTGTTGTTATATTAGAGTTGCTGTGAGTCAGTAATATTGATTTATTTTTTCTCAGTTACTATGGAAGAAGTACAGCAGGGCAGCAATGGCACTGAGTCACAGACTGCAACCATTCCCACTACCATCACAGCCTCTCAGTTCTCACAGATAGCGCAGCAGGTAACTAATATATGCCTTGAAAAAGAAAACCTGCCATTCTGTGGAGCTTTACAAGCAGTTTACGACTTTAAACTGTGGTTGGTACTCGGCTTATAATTTAGTACTAATCAAATTCAAAATGACATAGAACCTGACCAAGTTGCTGCCTTTTTGTCTAAATATGTTTTAAAGTTATATGATGACAGCATAAAATCCCTCATCATTATGAAAATAATGAAACCATTTTGTATGAAAAAAAGTTGATATCTGTAATAATTTTTAATTGAAAAGCTACAGATCAAAGATTTTACACAGAAAACTAATATAACATTAGTTTACAGCGCTTGATTTTATTTATATTTGTATATTTCCACTAAAAAAATTTCAGTGTGAAAACTAACAGTGAGTTTGAGTTTTTGCAAATTGAGTGCCAAAAAAATCCCACAAAGTAATATAAATGTATCAATACTGTTTGTAATTATTTAAATGTTTCTTCAAATGTAAAAATGAATGCATTAAAAGTTATTTAAATATATTGATTTGTTGAATACATATTTATATATTTAATTCAAGTATAAATGTCACTATGTGTTTAAAGTAGTAGAATTATTTTTGTAAATAACTTTTTTTACTTGGGTATTTCGTGTGCTGAACTACACATGAAATAATTTAAGCTACAGTGAATCAAGTGCACACTGACATTTGATTGATTTAATTAACAAGGACAATGAGTCAAAGAGCATCCTTGGTCCAGTCCACTGATTTCTATGGATACAACTGAGAGACTAAAATAAATTCAACATGTGCAATCAATAAAATGAATAGTTTATTCAGTAATAATGATGCATTTACATTATCAATATATTTGTTTTTAATAAAAAAACCCGTAATCTATTTGGATTATTTCTTGCTGATTTAAAAACAATATTGTTATTAAATTGGGTCACTTTTGAAGCTCTAATTCTACAGACTATTTACAAATATAAATGATGTATTCATAGAAACGCTTCATGGTAAAGAATGGTGCTAAAGTAGAAAGTGTTGTTGCTGTCTTTCCAAGTTAAGTTTTCTAATGTCTCTGAAGTATGTAAAATAACATGTATTACATTTTTATGATAAGAACATTGCATTTATGACTCTTAGCTTAAAATCCTTTTTAATGTGTAAGTTAAAGCAAAAAAAAAAAATAAATAAATCACTTAAAACCTAAGTGTAAATGAGATTACATGTTGTAGTAGTCTCATTTACATGTGGTTTGTGTGTTTGTTTTTACTTGTTTAGGAAATTCTCTTCAAATAATGTTTTATGTTTTATATGGCAAACCATATTTTGTCTGTATTTTTTTTTTCTATTTGAATTTTTCTAGATGTCATTGGGAGGCTCTTCTGTAGCGGTTGTGCAACTGCCTGGGGGTCAGTTTCAGGTTCAGGGAGTGATCCAGTCTGCACAGTCGTCAGTCATTCAGTCCCCTCAGGCACAGAGTGCAACGGTGAGCACAGCTGCTTTTCTTGGCACTCATGTTTTTCATTCTCATTGTTCTAATCTAGACAAGAAAACTGCAAACCGAAATTTATTCCGTCATATATACTGAATGACCATATTTGTTTCTTCTAGACACTAAACCTAGAAGTAAAAAGGGTGTAGTCAAACAGTTGGCAAAAAGATAAGACATGACGTGTGCTTCTTGACTGCTGTCTTTAAATATTCTATTTTTTTTGAGTGATTATTTTAATATGGTCATAGTGAGTGGTTTCCTAGTTTTACAGTACTATAGTACACCTTCTCATTCAAAAGGCACTGTTAAAATAAGATTTTTGTTGATATGTAAGAAGGAATATTGTGTTACTACTTGCTCTTATAACTTCATCTTCTACTGCGAAGGCCCAGGGTAGTGATAGTGACGATTCACAAGACTCCTCAGATAGTGGCACAGCAACCCAGAAGACCAGAGAAATACTGGCAAGGCGGCCGTCATACAGGTAAGAAATTGATCAAATTAAATCCCAGATTAAAGCTTTAATGTAATTTGAGAAATCACTCAAATTCTTTTGTCCTGCAGAAAGATCTTCAATGACCTTTCATCTGAGGAAACAACACACATAGAAGGAAAGGATAGCAGCCCAGCATCCACAGGAGTGACAGGTGTTACTGTACAAAGCACACCAATCTACCAGACCAGCTCCGGCCAGTACAGTAAGAACGCCTCCTTCAGCTTAAAGCGAATACATGGACACTAACACCAACATTGGATGTGGGGATGTTTGAAGCTCACTTGATATTTGTATTTAATTTTAGTATTCAGTACTTTTGATTTCTCTAATGGAGTGAAATATGCAAATAAGTACATATAATGAAATAAGGAATATCGTTTCCTGTCATGTTTTAAAGAATATCTTTTTTGTTGTTGTTGTGCCTTACCACGTTCTATTTTTTTCTTCATAATTAGTTACCATAGGTGCTAATGGCACAATCCAGCTGGCATCTCCAGGGTCTGAAGGCATTCAGGGTCTACAGGCCGTCACTATGGCCAACTCTGGTGGAGCGCAACAAGGAGCTACCATCCTTCAGTATGCCCAGACACCCGATGGCCAGCAGATACTCGTGCCTAGCAACCAAGTAGTAGTACAAGGTGAGCATTTAGCATATTCACCAAATTTTGTTTTGCCAGTATTATTTAGTAGTCTTATTGTGTAATTGAAATGGGGCAACAGGTTAAATATTTCCCAAAAAGTCTTTAAATAGTATTCAGCTACGTATATAACAAATAAAAGCGATTCCAGAAAAAACTCTAATCATCTCCCATATGAGAGTTACTGACTCCAAGGGCTATTGGCAAAAAAAAAAAAAAAAAATTAACAGTTTCAAGGTATTGAATGTGTAAAAGAAAATAAAAAATGGTTCTTAACATCGAAGGTTCTCTTACAAATCACACATCCAAAGTAAAATATGTTGTGGCGTAGTCACAATATAAAACTTCCAGTCAAATGCTGAAAGTTGTGACAGGATTCATATGACCCGTGTTTAGGTGCCGGAGGAGAGGTGCAAACGTACCAGATTCGGACAGCACCCACATCTGCCTCCCTTTCCCAGACTGTTGTGATGAGCTCTCCTGTTGGACTGTCCCAGACTAAAACTGATGATCCAACACTAAAGAGGGAAATCAGGCTTGCAAAAAACAGGTAAATACACAGTTGAGTTTGGTGGCTCAACTAAAAACCCCACAGCAGTTTAGACAGAACGAAGTTTTCATTCTGAAAAAAAATAGATCTGCCAAAGGCGCCTTTGATGTTTGGTTAGCAGATTGTTAATGAGAGTTTAAACACTGCTTATAAAAGACGAACTCCTGCACAGTTTTAATGAGTCAGGATAAGTATGGCACTCAGATTATTTTCTAGAACTTTTTAAGTATGGGAACATTTCGTTTCCATTCATAAGACTTTTTCCTGCTTCCATTTTCTAAAGTGAAAAACATCTTTATCTGAATTTTTATGTTGTTGCTGAGCAGGAAAGTCTTTTCAGTAGTCAAGAGATTCGACTGCTGCAGCTACTGCACATGATGTTACCTGGCTTGGAGGGGCCTGAATCAGCTCAGGTCCCTTCTAGACACAGAAAAAAATAAAATCAGCCAAAAAACCTCATTATTAATTCATATTCATTCAGTTGTTTTCTGTGTGAGGTGAATTCACACCATCTTGATGCTATGAGAATTTGTACTTTGAAAAAACAATGCATTCTTTCCATTGTTTTAAAGTTGGAAGTACTGATGGTTTTCCTGGTTTCAGGGAGGCTGCTCGCGAATGTCGGCGGAAGAAAAAGGAATATGTTAAATGCCTGGAAAACCGAGTTGCAGTTCTGGAGAACCAAAACAAAACATTGATTGAAGAACTGAAAACATTAAAGGATCTGTACTGCGTTAAAACTGGATAAACCTTTTCAATCCATGTCAAGGTGGTGTGAAATGACACGGCTCTCATTCATTTGGACAAGTCTGGGTTTCTGGGAACACTTCATTTCAGGCTGAAAGCCTCCAGTCTGTTTTTTTTTGTTTTTTTGTTTTTGTTTTTTTTTACTCTGATATAAAGTGACTTTTGGCAGTGAGATTTACTGGACAAATTGGCCAATTTTCCAACTGCTGTTTTTTTTAAGCAAAAAAAAAAAACAAACAAACAAAAAAAAAACGAAAATGCTAACGCTATAACATTTATAGTTGTGTACATTTTTAATACTGGGAGATTTGAAATTGTGAGCTTTAACGTTGACTCTCAGTTTCCAAATGTATCCCTTTCCTATTTTCTTGTGTTTTTAAACCTGTTGCTATTGGAGTTAATTGACCAGCATCTGCAGAATTTTGACTATATAAATATCACAAAGATGCATTTTCTTTTAATTATGTGAACCAGCAATTCCCCTCTTTTCCCTTTTTAAAAAGATGTTACAACTGTCATTCCTTATATTTGTGCAATGGAGTATAAAGGGTATCAGAAATATTAAATGTGGTTTGGTTGTTACTTGGCAGTTACTTTGACAATCAGGGAAAAAAGCACAGAGTCCAGGTAATATTTATTTGTACATCTTGGGAGGAGTGAGAAAGAACAAACAGTATATGAAATGTTGATGATTCGGTGAGTAAATAAATATATTTTCTCTCAGTATAATGTGTGGCTGTTTGTTGCATCTGTTGTGCATGAAAATGTTGGTATTTTTGCTCCTTAAAATTTGATCTGTTGCTATGAGTGTCTCTTCTATTGATTTAAAAAATGTTTCACCATTTGGTCTAAATTTAAAAAGATAATTTATTTGAAAAGAAGGAAATTAATAAATAAGTCTTTAACTAACTAGAAACAACAAACAACATATTTCATTTAATCAAATATCCCATGATGTGTGGCCTAATCATTAAAGAAACCTCCGGAGCCTCTATGTGTTTTAGGTGAAGCTCAGCAAAGCCAGCTGCCTCCAGGTCTTTCCATGTTGCTCTGGTAACCATGCAGCCATCTCCAAGGAGGCACCACAGAGGCTCAAACACATACTGGCAGAAGTGTGTCCACGTGGACGGATCAGACACAACATGCTCCAGAAAATACAAGGCTCCTCCCTGAAAGAGAAAACCAACAACAGGTGGGGTTTCTGAGCGTTCGGGTTTGCTCCAGTACAGACCACACAGCCTTCTGGTTCTGACTGGTCAAATCTGCAGTGAGGCTTTCAGCAGTTTAGCCTGAACTCAATCATCACAGGGATCTAAAGTAAAGGGAAAATTGTTTAAAGCCTGCACTAGTCGTGTATTTGCTTTTGCATCATACTTGCCTTAGTTTACTACTACTTCAAGGCATCCCTGATTTTCTATGAAATGTATTTTCCAACAAGGAGCTAAACTAGCACAGAGGTCTAGACTGCCTTGATAAGAAAACGTGTTGTGTTGGAATTTGAACCAATGAAATGCAATATTAGCACAGTGAAGTCCTGCTGGGTTGAGTCATCTTACTCTTTAGAACTATACACATACATGAAAAGAACAATTTTAAAAATGCACGATTAAATGTGCATAATTAACTAGATTATTTTTAGGTAATGCAATGTCAGCATTTAATCTGTAAGGTGGTGCTTAAGAAATAAATGGTGACTTGCAAATTACACTACACACATAAAGATAAACTTTACATGTTCCTTTGCAGATATATACAAAGTTTACCTATTTCTCACTGAGAATAGCTCAACCTCAGACAGATTTGATGTAAATAATTGGATTTAGAGCTGGACTTTGGGCCAGTTTAGCACATGAATATTCTCATTATATTGCAGCTCTGGTTAGATGTTCAAGCCGTTGTTCTGCTTGGAAGGTGAATTTCAGCTGCGGTCTTAAATCTTTTCCAGTCTCCAGCAGGCTTTCTTCTCGGATTACCCTGGTTAGCTCCAAACAGTTTACTCTGAAGTCTGACCAGCCTCCCTAAAACATAATGGTACTGCTGCCACCACTATGTTTCACCATAGGGATGGATGGTGTGTTAGTTTGAAATAGGACTTAAGGTCATTTTGTTATCATCTGACTAGAGTACTTTAATCTACATGTGTTCTGTCTCATCCATACATGGTAAGCAGCAAACATGCCATATTGTGTCTTTCTTTCAACAATAGCTACATATCTGCAATCTTTCCAAAGGCCAGATTTGCAAAGTGCAAATTTAGCAGCGATATAAAACTCACATTCCTGAGAATGCGTCGGGCCTCCTGCAGGACCCTTTCCACGTTGTTCACGGAGCACAGCACCAACGTGCAGACCACGACGTCCACCGATTCGTCCTCAACTTCTCTCATGTCTTCACCAGAGAGAACTAACATCTCGTCATAAGTCAGGTGCTTGTTTGCCTCCATGCTCATACGCAGGTACGGCTCCATGTGCGGATTGGGGTCAGTGCAGATCACCGTGCAGCCATAGGGGTAAAACCTGAAGTTTGCTCCACTGCCACAGCCGATTTCCAGCAACCGAAGCGTCCCGTCAGCGTTTGCGAACCTTCCAAGGTTCCGAAACAGTTCTCTCTTCAGCTTGTGGGTTTTATCGTTGTATGAAAATGTTACGTTGTAGGCGAGGAAGGGGAACACTCGTTTGTACATACCACGCAGGCCAATAAACTGCAGTAGATAAAAAGGACTGCTGAATGCGAAACAAAGTAGTCTGCAAAATTTCATAAAACAAGGCTGCATATTTCCTTGAAAAACGGTTTAAGCGCAACAACGGCCGAAAAGACTAAAGCAGATCAAAAGATTAAACTGTACTCATCTCTTTTTTCACCACTAGATGGCGACAAAGGACAACAGTGCAGTAGTTTCTCCTATTTTCCTTCTTTTTGCAACCAATGAGGACTTGAGCTAACTTTGTGTGACCCAAGCTCAGTCCAGGAATAAATTATTCAGCAACCATTTTACATTTTTCAACAATCTTTTAATCTTAGTTGAAAAGAGGATCCACAATTACATGGTACCTATTGATAAGTGGCTTCACAGATGAGTAATGGCACAGCAATGTATGTGCATTTCAATTACATGTGTAAACAGTAATATAAACATTAGTATTGCATGCTGTCTTTAAACGGGTGTAATCTTTACAAAATACATTTTCTTGAATACAAAAATTAAAATTAAGTGCTCTTTTCTCCTAGTAATCATCCCACACAAGCAATAGGCACAATACAAAGCTTGGCATATTCATATACTGGTAGTCATAATGACATTTTATAAAAGTTATTACTAGGATCTTATTTCACTGCATAGCCTATTATGTGCGGATTGATCATAAACATAAGTTGTGCTTGAATGTGTCTGAGTTTGAGCTCAGAAAATCCAGCTTCCTCCAAGTATTTCCAGGTTGCCCGAGTGGCCTCGCACCCGTCCCCAAAGTAGTACCACGCAGGCTGGAGGACGTGCTGGAAGAAGTGCACCCATGTTGAGGGGTCTGCCACCACATGCTCCATGAAGAAGAAGGCACCTCCCTGAGAGACAAAGATTTAATATTTGTAAGCATTACAAAGCTTATTACAGCTTAAGTCAAATCAATTGTACCACTTCAATATTTATTTTTTTAAATCTTTGTGGCAGAAACTGGTTTGGTTCATTATGTCACGGGGAACTTTATACATTTACTACAAAGCTAAACTTTAAACCATGCAAAATGCTAAACTTGGATAATTGGATCTGATGATAAACATTTTTACTGCTTAAATATTTACAAATATGTACAAGTTTTAGGTCAAATTGTTTTATATTTCAACAGGTGGAAATGAATGGCTTTATTTCTGCTCTACAAGCTTGACACAGCATATTTACATAGTCTAGTCCTATTTGTCAGCACTGATTAGCTAAGCAGTGGTTTTCCATAACAAGATGTACCAAGGTTTTAAAAAGTTAAAATTTAAAAACTGCTACAATTTCTGGCCTTAGCTTTCCTTTGTTTTCTTCTTTTAACAACATACCAGGGAACTTAACAATATAACAGCAGTTTTCTTAATCTGTATGAAGCAAAGATTAACAAACCACTCCCCTTCCTCCACCATTTGCAGTGGCTCATAGCTAACCATGTTCCCAGCATACAGAGATGGCAAATTGTGATTTGGAAGTGATGATTTGAAATAGGAACAGGTTGGTAGGAGAGTAACACAACTTGGTTGAGTGTGTGTGATTAAAATGTAACAATAGTGAGCCACTTAAAAATATTTTTGCAATTATTAAACTGTAAATTATTCTAAAGTATGATTTAAATAACAGAAGAAGATGACATTCTACATTATTGATAAAACATAACTAAAGCTAAAAAACATAGAAAAACATAAACATAGCTAAAACATAACACCCATAGGACCCCAGACACTAAACAACAACGCTCTTTCCCTGTTCTGTTTTTCCTAATCCTTTTGTTTCTCTCCAAAGTTTTATTATGCTCCGTCTGAGAAGCATTAATTTCTCTGCCAAAAAAATAAATAAATTAGTTTAAGGCGTGTTCTCATGGCTTTACATTTGAAAGCCAGTTCCTGTGCAACAGGTTACATCACTGAAACCTGGTGTTTCCAGTTCAGGCAATGGGAGGGAATAAGAGACCCTGATAAGAAAAAAATATATTTGCAGCTCAGCAAAATCTATAACTAATTAATAACAGCAGGGTGGGTTAACAACTGTTTACCTTTGGTTACTGTTTAGTTAAAGACTGGGGGGGAAAATAAACTTTCAACATATAGTTACAGTTTCTTAACATTTTTATTCCATGATTTTATTCATTTATACTAATGAAAACTAAGACCCTAAGTTTTAATATGCCACCACACCTTACAAATTATCCTCTGTAAGCCCATCTGATCTTCAGCCCATCATCCAGGTTAATAATTACATTATACTGCACAAGGACTAAGAAGCTGAGCAGAAATTATAGAACCTGTTTCTTAACAATGTGGCTGGATTTCCCTCTTGTTTGGTTGGTTTTGAACTACTGAAACATTCGCCCAGTTCAAAAACCTCTTACTTGTCTCAGTATGCGGTGTGCCTCTCTCAGGGTTTGCGGGACATCTTCGACCGAGCACAGCACCAGGGTGCACACAACAACGTCCACCGATTCGTCCTCTACTGACGCCATGTCTTCCCCCGAGGCCACCACGAATTGGTCGTAGGTGAGGTGGTCGTTCTGCTTCATGCTTTTGTCCAGATATTTCTTGAAGTGTGGGTTCGGATCGGTGCAGATCACCTTGCAGCCAGGCGGGTAAAACTCAAAATTTGCCCCCGTGCCGCAGCCTATTTCCAGAAGTGTGAGCTTTTTGCCAGGCTTGGCGAACTCTGACAGACTGCGAAACAACTCCGCTTTCTTATCGTGCATTTTCTTGTTGTAGTTTATCGATATGCGTTGCAGAAAAATGGGAAAGACGCGTTTATAACCTTCGTACAGACCGAGTGCTTTGATTATATGCATCGGAATACACAATGCGTTCACCACCAGGGTCCAAAACCTCATTGCAAGACTCATCTTGGCTCACGATCCAGTCCACCAGGCGCACCGTGCGGAACCAGCGACTGAGTTAAATACAAGCCGTCAAAGTGAAACAGGCAAGGGGCAGCGTGACGTCCGGTGCGGATTTTCAGAATAAAAGTTGTCAAGTGCGCATATGGGGGCTTGGTTTGAAGGGAAGTGAAGTATTTGAAAAGCTCGCATATTTGTTTGGTTATGTGACCTCTGTTTAAACCTTTAGTAAGACGTTTAATGTAAACAGTTTACAGTTACATAATTTACATCGGACACACAGATGACTTTGGTGAGTTGTTGACAAACAATTTTAAGGTGATTTTGCGTTTTTAGTTTATTTTCCTAATACGTGTTGCCTTAAACTGGTTTATAATAATAATAATAATAATAATAATAATAATAATAATTATTATTATTATTATTATTATTATTATTATTATTATTATTATTATCTATGTAGCACCTACATCAATCAGGCAATCAATCAATTTAATACAAGCGGGTCTAATACAAAGTGCTTTGTATTAAACCCACCAGTAAAACATGTTTTATAGAGATGAATTAGTGTTGTCTTCCAGCAATAACATCCATTTTTTCACATGGTTCTTTGACCTGTTTTTCAATGTGTTTGTCTGTATTGGAGGACTGTGTTCTGGGTTTACCCTGCATTTCGCTGGTGTAGGCCAGCAAAGATCCTGGAAAGATTAATGGGGTATAGGAAATGGATGCAAAGACGGTTTATTATAGATATTTATAAAATATTGAAGACAATATTGTTTAGTTAAAGAAATAATGATTATAAATTACTTTAAATTTGCAAAACAAAATAAAAATTACAGTAATAAATTTAACACAATTATTACTTTAAAACATAATAAATGTTAAGTCCATCCATCTGTCACCTGTTTATGCATCTCCAGTAATTGGGTCCCACCGTGAACCTGCAAGGATAAGTGGGTATAGACCGTGGATGGATTATTATTATTATTATTATTATTATTATTATTATTATTATTATTATTATTATTATTATATACTTGGATATTTTCATTGTATTAATTAATATTATAGATTAAATATTGCCATTCACAATTATAATTGTTGGCTTATTAAGTATATCATTTTAAGTAGGCTTGTTCTATCATTTTGATTTTTGCTTGTGAAGTTTATGCTTAACTTGTGAAGTTTGTTGCTTGATGTTACATCATCCTTATGTCGCTGCAGGCCCCCCAAGTTTTGGGTTTTTATTTCCCCCTTTGGACGTGTTAAGCGCAGTTCTTCATTCTTCCACTAGGGTGCGACAATCATAAATATTAGGTTGAAAATACTCTTGAATTCAATCAAAATAGTGACCAAATGTGAGCAGTGTACACCCATGTGTTTCTTTTTTATTTTCATATTAAGGATTTTAAAAAAGTGGGCAATGCAACAGTAGGCCTCATAAAGTCACACACTATTTACTGAATAATGTATCAAACAGGAATATATTAATCATTAAATAAGCATTTAAAACCACAAAAGCCCATGCCAAGTACAATTTTCACATATTTATCAAATAGGAGCAGATAATATATAAACAGTAATGTTTAATATAAATAATAAACATTCATTTCATAGACTAGAATGCCCATAAATGTATTTAAATAATTGTATTCCAGTGATTAAAAATGTACCTTGTTTTAATAATGGTATGGTGAAATTATGCATTTTTACTTATTTTATTTGACCTTTGTCAAATATAAGCCTTACTCAGAAAACTGTAAACACTTTAATTTCAAATTGATTTAATAAGTTACATACTTTGTAACTGTAAGTGCAGTTACAAAGCCACTATACTAAACAAAACCCACAAAAAGATAATCTCAGCTGGTGTTTTCAAGACTTTATTTCTGCTGTAATGATTGTCATGATGAGATTCCAATCACATCTAATGAAAACATTTCTATATATTGACACAATATAGAAAAACGATCTTGATGTAAAGTATGTTTGATACCTGCTCAAAGGTTGTTGTTTTCGGAAACATATTCAAGACTATATATATATATATATATATATATA